TTCGAATGGAATATATAACTGGGTTAGTCAGTGAGCTTGCGTGGAAGATACATCGTCAGGAAGATAACAGAGTAAAAATGCCGCGATGATAATGCAAACGTCGACTGCTGCCAAGCGATCTCCGAGCCTCCGTGTTTCAATTTGTTCCCGTTCACTCAGGTTACAACGTTCAAGGGATCCTAGTTGAGCGGCTGCCACAATGCAAGGTCAATCTGAAGTGCGTTTGCTTTTCTTTAAGACTCGCCAATTTAGGTAAACGATTTTTATGAAAGACACAACAAAAAAGGCGCATGTGGCAAAAGCAAGAATCACTAGGGACCCTATTGCTGCTAAATGGCGCTTCTACATTGGAAAAAAGGATCCTGAATTAAATGAAAAACGAGTTGAAATTTGGAGATCAGGCAGTGCCCATAGCAAAACTAAAATAACAAAACTCTTAATTTAGTTATGGAACCATCGTATGTCAGAGGCGATTTTAAAATGGCGCTGTATCGCTCGTAGGACACGGCAATCAAATGGAGAACCGTACTCAAATAGAGATATCTTGAAAGGCGTGCTCTCAGTCGAGATAAAAAGAGAAAGAAAAGATTATCTAGAGCACATTTCTATCCAACAATAGTGCGAACATGCGCACAATACAGTCAAGCTTTATTTTGAGCGTGGTAAAGGGTTATATGGACGCGTGTTTTAGGTCAAATTGAATATGCGACGCGTGAATCAGTCTACAGAAAGCCGAGCGTGATTCGTGAACCAGCGTGAGGCGTGATTTGCCACCTGAAATATAAGTAACCCGTGAATTTTTTTCTTTCCTTTTGTGAAATTTCAAGATTTCCCTGAAACCTTGTACCAACAGAGAGAGATTCGAAGTTTTTCCCTTTTATATACGTGAAGTGTGAGGTTTTCTAGAATTCTTGCGAGGATCAGGACTCCATTCCCGTTCAAATTTCGTCTGTTTTGACTTTCTTGATGCTTTTCGCCTGCAAATTATTTGTAATAAATAACATCATTTCTCATGCAATTTTTTCGTAAATTTTTTAAAACACTTATAATTTTTTCAAAGGCTACAATTGCACTCGCCCTACGGGCGTGTGCATTTTCAATGTCTTTAAAAAATTTTTAGTCGTGTTTATTAACACCAAAATTGCCCTCAAAATCATGTCATTACAAAGTATGCTTGAAACAATTTAATACTCAATTATACTTCATATAATAAATTACATATTCTTCTTTTACTGTCGGAAAAAAAAATCTTATCAACTTGGGGATTTCGCTTGACCTTTATCACCAATTTCGGTTAAAAAACTTACATTTTACTCACGAGTCTCGCGATATTCTAAAGTCAATTAGCTTGTTTTATTATTATTATTACTATTATTACAATTATTATTATTATCATCATTATTATTATTATTATCATTATCGTTAGGGACAGTTTGCCCCTTCGGTCCCCCCTTAGCGACCATGTGCTCAAATCGTTGTGCGTTGTATAAGGTTGGCCTTTTTTGTCTTTTGATGTTGATGTTCGGTTTAGCTTGGAGATGGCCAAAAATATGTAAGTTGTCGCTTTGCGTGTTANCCCTCACGTTCTCCAAACAGCGAAAAGTTTGCTCATTTCTCATTGTTTTATTGCGATGGACGCAAAAAAATTTACAAATATTTACAACGCACGTGCACAGCCGTTATTCTGCTCATTAAATTAACCTTAGGTTTAGTGACGTTGCAGTCGTGGTTTTCTTTAATTAACTCCCTTTCAATAAGGGTCCGCTCTTAGGCTACGCAGCTAAAAGCATGGTTAACAAAGATGAATTGATAAGAAATTATTTTGTTTGGATAGAGGAAATGGAGGGTTTAATCAAAGATTCCTTATTAGTCCAAAACATCTATTTAAATATTTCCCACGAACGGAATTTTTTTAATCGGATCTTGTTTGGAGAGTAGAAGATAGTTAGAAAGTGTCCTCGTAAGTAAATGAAAGAACAAAGCTTACCGCAGGACAAGCTTAGAGACGCATTTCAAGCCGACATCTGGAAAAGACGCGGTTTTTTTTAATAAAAATTTCTCCAAAGTCATTGAGTAACATGAAAAATATTAGAAAACCGCAAAGGCATCTAGCTATTTTGTGAATCATTTATGGACGAGCGGATCTTTCGAGGTCATTATGTCAAGGGCTTTATGAAACATTTACAAATCGGCATTTAGATTGCAGCTATGCATAAGTCGTAACAACTGCGAAAATTTGAGGGAAAATTCCTAAAATCAACTGTACAAAACTTTATGTCAACATGATATTCACTCAACATGCATATTCACTATGCAGCTAATTGTTCTCCATACACTCCATACACCCTCTTAAATTCGTCAGACGAAAATAAAGAAAAAAGCAAGATGTATCATTCACTAGCGGATCGTGTGCTTTTTTCTCGTAACTTTTATTGGTTACTGTAAAAGAGATTGAATGTTGGTCGTTCTGGGGGATAAATGGCTAATTCCTTTTATTTTGTAAATTATGTGAATTTCTTCCTCGCGTGTGGCTTCTTACAGTCGGTACTTCTTATTATGACATTTAACGCAAGGTTTTTAAGCAGATTTTGAGCTGTTTAACATCTGCTAATCGCAGCTTACACTTTAGCTTTTTTCAGACATTTAGTCAGTAACATCGTTACTTTTTCTCGTTTTATTTCGCGTTGTTCTTTCAATACAGCGCTTTTGGTCTCATTTCAAACCTTAGAGCCTATTCCTCCATTTCCTTTCAATCAAAAATAGTGCCAAATGCCTCCTTCAAATCTCGTGAAGTGCTTACGTAAGAGGAGATTAATCCAGCCTCAAACGCCGGCTCTTTTCCAATTAAGTCTAATTAACTGTTCTGAGAAGAACTCTTTTGAAAAGAATTTCTAATTGAGATAACAGGCCGGGAAGTTATAAGCAACAGAAATTTTCACTTTCGGACGACGATGTTGAATCATTCTTTTATCATTTTCCATCAAAATTACCATTTTTTGGCGACGGGCGGTTTCCTATATCGTCACAGACCACAGGAAATAACAGTAAAAAAAAGGAAGAAAAACTAAAATATACCGGATCCACAATATCAACTTGAGATAAAATTGTAAAATTATCTCCGTCTGTCCTCTATAAACAAGGAAAATGCTTTTCCGTCATTTGCTGACACGGAAATTTTTTCAAACAATTAAAAGAGGTGAAGGTTTTTTGTCATGATTGTTTTTCTAGAATTTACCTCTCAAATGGAGAGAAATGTAAAGCAAACAACTTTTAAAGTGTGCAAACATGTTTTCTATTTTTGTTTTAATTTCTAAAACGGTCAATTAAAATGAAACGAAGTTTTTGAACGTTGTTAAATGGTGCCAAAATTGTCTAGAACTTCGAAAAAGAAAAGGTTATTTATAATTGTAATAGCTTCTGGTAATAATGAAAACATCAGAAATGAACCATTATCATTTGTTTTACCACGTAGTCACTTCCGCTGTGAATTGCGACCTTTCGCCTGAACAGTGCAGTAACCAATCGTTGTCATCTTATGAAGAAAATTGACAGTCGAAACAGCTCTCACCCGGTGAGATGCAGGCTGCATCGGGAAGACTATATCCTAAACAAACGATAACACTTCATTGTCGAAAAACTAGTTACCTTGTTTTTGACCGTTGGCCAACGCATAAAAATACATTTCCTGATCTTGTACTGTCGCAGAGCTAGAGCAAAAAGGTATCATTTCTTACTTTGTCAAAGATGCTATTTTTAAGCGAAAAATCCTACCTTTGATTCACGTGTACGATACACACACTCTTCAACTCACACCTTATGTAATATTGAAGTATGTGTTAAGTAAGTAGAGAGTGGACATGGTTAATGGTGGACTTAACGAAGTACAAATATTCCCATCAAAAAATGCTCGAGATTAACAGAGAGATCCTTGATTATAACGTTCATTGCATGCCAACCAGGTAAGATGAAGAATTAAGGATTTATATATATGTCGGCATACATATTCTAAGCGAAAAAGGAGTTTGGAAACTTGTTACTGTATGACACTCAAAACTCTGTCGGTTCACTTTTTAAAGGAGTAGTTAATCAGATACAATGTAGTTAATGCCGCAAAGTGTAGTTAATGCCGCAAAGTGAAATTTCAGTAATAACGTCGGCTTCGTTTGAAATCTAGCGTTAAAGGGATTAAAAAGAAATGAAACTTCAAAAGACACCATTGAAATGTCAAGAGCCTCCAGAATCCTTATAAACTTACAAAAAGGTACTGGGCTTTGACTACGAAAAAATCTTAAATCTACCTGCGAAATCCAAAGAAATTCATATCATCCGAGTCCAATTCGTCTAGACAATAGTTCGCATGAAGGTTTATTGTAAAGATTTGACAGTATTTATAAAATATCTCATTTCCAAATAGTTAGCAGAAAACAAAACAAAGAGTTACAGAGATACACTGGGATCATCTTTGGCGAACTTTCTGGACGCATTTCTGAGGTCAGACCCTAATGAGATTTTCGCAAATTAACTGCCGGATTTTTCCCTTATCACTTGTGATTTGGCAAATTCCTGAGAAACCAAGGTAAGCCAAGAAGAAAACGAGGTCAATTGACGTCTCGGACATGCTCGCGTGCTTACGTCCTCAATCAGGAAATACCTTGAGCGCTTGGAGAGGTTTTTGGGGTCGAAAAACGTTGCTTTTAAGCACGATATCCTTGCTAAATTCAATGGAAATGCGTCATGCGTAACGACATAAACAGCTAATGTTGTGCTGTTAAACAAATGAGTTTTATGTTTTCATGGTAAGAGTCGCATCTGCTTCTAAGAGCCTTGAAATGGATATCCCTCCTTGACTTACGGAACACTTCTAAATTTATAAACAGAGATACGCATCTTGCTAAATTTAAAGCTTTGAGTGAAAAGTTCTTTGAGAACTCGCGCTCTCAAACCTTGCACGTCAAGTAGGGAAGAGCAACAGAATGAAATTTTAAACAGCAACAACAAACTTCTTTCGCCTCTCTTTAGCTGATAATGGCAAACTCAACAAAAGGATTTGCAATCAATACCTCGATACTGGGCTTTTAATTTCTAGTACTTGTAGTCTGGCTGGCTTCATTAGATAATACGTTATTATTCTACAGCTTTTTTTTTTAGCTAAGGACCTTAGCCTTCATCACTAAAATAGTACATATTTTGGGCCTCGAAATTTTAACACCTTGATTCCATATATACAAATAAACAATATAGACAAACATAAATAGGTGGAAGCGTTCATTTCGTTCAATTTGTTTTTTCGTCCCAAGCTCAGCTGTCTTGTAAATGTCAGTTGTTTATTAAATGTCTACAACTCTGTAGAGCATAAACTTGAGCTCCTGAGCTCGGTAAAGTCAAAAGACGAAACATCTAAGTCCAGTGATTGTGATTTGGGCGATCTGTCGATTTTTCTTGTTGAAAAGTCCGCGTCCTTCTCTACAAGCACTACCCCGTCACTCAAACTTCTTTTGGTTAAGGAAATCCGCGAGTCTTGGATTGCTGCCTGAGTTCCTTCATTACGTGTTTGGGGAAGGGAGCCTCGCCTGATTATATCTAGGTCATTTGGTCTTTCTTGGGAAGATTTTCTTCTATTCTTGGCACTGAAGCCTGTATCTTCTACGATGTCGTATTTTTCAAATCCTCCGCAAAGAGCTGCAATGTAAAGGTAACCGGATACAGTGAGCTTCAGCTTCGAGGAACAAAAGGATGAACGAAAAAAAACGCGCGTGTCGGAAGGCTTAAGAGAAAGTAACCACCAATGAAACTGTGCTCTTAGAAACAAATCTACTTGAAAAGTGGTATTACGAAACTGCCCTATTTCTCTTCGTGATCTGTAACAAAGACTTTCCGATCTAATTCATCGGTTAAAGGATACGAAGTAGAGAAATATATGTGTAACAATAGCGTCACTTCGTCAAAAGACCTTAACTTGGCTGTCGCTTAGATCTAGTTGCACCAAAATTATCCTTATTCCGAAGAAAGATATCTGGTTGAACATATGCCTTGTTTTCGAATTCATGCCAATTATTTTGCTTAAGTATTTGACTATTCTTCATGACACTCTCAAAGGATCAATCATTCTCCTTCAATTAGAACTTGCATCAGTGAAGATGCGTGGTAAACAGCGCGGCTTAGGCGAGTAAATAAATCATCATATCGTCTTGAACATCGTACCTGATAAGCGAAAGGCGATGTCATGCCAATCCCTCTGAGTTTTCACTTCTTTCATGGTATATTACAATCAGTGTTGCTTCGTGTGCAATGAGGACAGATAGAATCCTGTAAACGTATTTCACAATCTCGACCGTTTAGCAATGTCCTCCTCGAGCGCAGATGTGTTTCTAATGACTTCGAATCATCGAGACACTTTTTATACGCCCCTTAAAGAAAATGGAAATATCACCTGTCAACGAATCGAATTTGTGGGAACTTGACCTTTGCCATATGGTTCCTGTTTGAGCTGACAGGAATGACCGTTTCTTGGGAACTATTATTAGACGGGAAAACCTGTCTTATGTTACGCTTTGTTTATTCCCCACGTAAAATCAATGTTAAACGCTGGAGGGCGACTTTTGCTCTTCATTATTCCTTTTAAGTGCAAAAAAGAAAGACCTCGCCTAAACCCACGAGAATGTAATAGTTAGTCAGCAAACTCAAGCTTTTTTTTACCAAATTTTGCAAAAATATTGAGTTTTCTTTGTGTTTTAAATTCACACACGCCGTTGAATCATATCTATACATACCATCTATATATTCTATTCCTGAATTCGCCCTTAATGCAACAAAAATTTCCTTTTTCAGCTTTGACTCGCGTCTAATGGGGTCTTCTCTCCTGTAATATTCACGTCCTTAGCAGCTCATGAACAAAGCAAATAATCTTTCCGGACTTAACCGTTTCTTACAATGTCATCAAAAGTTACCGCAAAATTCGAAAAAAACTTTGAATGCCAAATCCCCTGGAAAGGGGATTTTATCCTGTTCTAAGATGCAATTTGGGATTACCTGCGAAAAACTTCCATAAACCACTTCTTTCTCAACAGAAATTGAACGAATGAAATTGACTTAACCAAATGCACGACATAAAGCTTAAAGGAATGATAAATCATTCAAACTTCGAGAGAGTATATTATCGAATACCTCTTCGAGTCAACCCTTTGGATAAGGAGTTGAGATCTGGGTAACTTTGGGACGGAAATTAATTTCTGTAGCAGTCACTTTGGTAACCATAGAAATATCAATTGACAAACTTCTTCAGAAGGAGAGGAAGTTCAAAAGAAAACATGAAAATTCAAATTTTTTCAACTGAATTTTTTCTCTTTTTTTTTCTCATTTCGACTACTCGATGCACTTTCTTAAATGAGCTTAACTGTTTTTGTAATGACCCAATCAAAACATTCCAGGCCATTTGCCTGATAGCTTATTGCTACTCAGATAGTGATAATCTGCGACAGAGAGCAAATTTCACTCTACGCCAGTCCTGATTACTATGGAAATATGAAAAAAGAGTACAGCCACGATTTGTATATTATAGGTGACTGTTTTTTAAAATCCTCTTTTTAAGAAGCGTCAAGTAATCAACGGCGTCCGGCTTTGCTGAAGTCCTAGTGAATTAAAACAGATCGGGTCATAACATTGTATTTCATCCTCAATATTCAAGCAGCATACGCACTTGTTTTTCTACCCGAGAGTCAGATCCATTTTGGAGCACTTTTTTTGAGGTTGTTCTGCTGAAAGAAGAGTTTGATAATTATGGCAAACAGGACGTCTATTGTCGTACGTGCCCCGGCGAGAGTCATGAAAAAAATTTACATGAAGCCCGAGCTGTTCATATTACACTTGCAAAATTTGTCTGCCTAGTTATAATCTCGATGTCTGCACGTGAACGATTAGGCTATTCTTAACGTGCTGAGCGTAAAGAGCGGCGCTGCAGGTATGTATTTAGTAAATAGAGGCGCGTCAGGAATTTGGACAAAATGTAACAGCCCAGCGAATTTGTACAGAGAGAAATTTTTCTCCGTGCCCCAGCAAACCTCATGCTCCAAGAAGTGACACATGGTTGTGATTTTTTTGTTTTGATTGTTTTTTTTGTTTTTTTTTACTGCCTATCGACACACGGAGACGGAGGTAAGATGAAAAGAAAGGAGATACTTTCGCGGGGATCACTTTCTTCGATAAAAAATTTTCAGAGCCAACATTTCAGAAATGGTTTAACTCATAGCCAAAGAAATTGATTTTTCTTTAGATCGAAAGAGTAAAAAATTCAAGTAGTAAACTCTTTTACTATGTGCCGTTAATATATTTACTCAGTACCGTTATTCTGCATGCGAGGTTTATTTTTGCTTATTTTCTCTCTCTCCATGTAAGAAGGAAACGGATGCACATACACCAAGGCTGAGCCTATCTAATCAGATCTACTCAAATTATAACGTCAGAATGACTCTGTATTTCATGAATTAACAGGACAACTCGACACACAAATTGTGAACTTTCTTTTAAAAAACCAAGCAACGGTGCAACACGGAAAAAATCTTCTTAAAGCTTGCATGCTTTTCGTTTTAATCTTCTGCATCTTTCACGATCCACGATCCATTTTCATCAACTTTTATTATTTTTATTTTTATCTTATCTGTGTGGTGGTTTCCTTTTACGTAGAGGCTATTTTTTCTCGTCGTTTCAAACGGCGTGAGATACGGCGATTTAACAGCTTTCAGGTGTGCCGACAAAACACAGGTGTAAGGGAAGTTGTGGCAAATCTAGAAAACACGATTGCGATAACCAATTACTCCGCCCTACTGGGGGGGAGGGGGGACTTTCCCATACGAAGTATCTAGATATGAGTGGTCTCGGCGGGTATGTTATGGTCGGAAAACAGATAAAGGGTTTGAACAATATGCTCTTGGATTGGGTCGAATTTCAAGGTAACCACGAGAGTGATCAGCAAATATAGTTTTTCATCTCCGCTTGGGTATTAGAGTGAGGGAAGAAACTTCAATGCCAGAATCTGGCCGATTTTTCGGGAGAATTTTTCCAATTTCATCCCCTCCCCCCTCCCCTTCCCCGAAGCCGGTTTTCTAGACGTAGCTTTTGATAAGGTGTTTACCTTGACTGCAGATATAAATTTTTATGACTCGAAGTAGACAAGGTCAACGACTTTGTAGTTCAGTTATTCTTAAGTCGATAATCAGCTGATTATCTACCATTCCCTCCCGATGTTTGAGTTTAAAAATGGACCAACAACTACTCAAATGTCAAAAGAATGTCAAAACCAAACACCCACTACGTGAGAGAATTAATAAATCAGCTTTAACATCGATAAAGTACACATCGACTCGTAGAGTTTATGAGAGATTTTTTGCCAGGTGATTCTCAATTCACCTTCATTTTCAACTGAAACGTGAGTCTTTGTAATAGTTTGAATAGCTTTCAATTAAAGACTTGGCAGAAGCTGGCTTCATCAAGAACGGACATTAAAGCTGAGTGATAACCGTACTAGCTAATCACAATCTGAACAACATTGATGTTTTTCTCGCTAACTTTCATGTGATTGTTCTCACGAAAGGTCGGCTTCAGCCGGACACGCGAATCATAACACGATTCCAGCCAAAAATATCTTGTTCCTTATTTTGGTGGGATTCAATCTCCATATTTCCCGAAAATAAAGATCCTTGAAATGAAATTGTAGCCACATTTGGCGACGCAGAATTTTACTCACGAAATGGAAAGCTTATCGCTCACTGGCTGATAAATTTTCATGATTCTCATTAGCTGTTTGCTGGGTAATGTAGCGATAACATGAGTAGAGATTACGTGTTAACTGCTTCTTGGAGTTGGGGACAAAGCACCGAGCCTTATTAAGCAATAGTTAAGTTTCACATCATCTACTGATCCTGTACGATTATTTTCTCTGTTTGTGTATCCTCAAATCTTGAAATTTCTGAATTGTGCTAATATTTCTCACAGAAGTCAATCTCGCGAGTGTTTAAGTGTTTCCATGTAATTTCACTCTAAAACTAAAAATTAAGATTAAGAAAAGGAAATTCAAATTGAGATCTACAGCTTATCTTTCAAGGTTGTAAGTTTGGGTTTAAAAAGGGATAATGATTCTTCTGGAGAATGAGGTCATGAAAATTGCACCTCCCCATTTGGATACTTTTCAGCACAACATAGTTTGGTTACTTTCTTTGATAGGTGGCTTTGTGCCAAATCACGTGGGAGACTTTCAAGAATTGTAGGATGTACTTCCTCGACACAATTTTGCGAAACTATGCGCCTTCATATGTTATCAGTTGTTGGATGATTTTTAATGTTCTCGTTTGTTTCTACGAGTGAACACTTGTTTCGATGAACAATGTTCCTGAAGAAGCTTGGGGAGGCTGAGGAATGTCTGTGTGATCTTTCTTTATTTTCTTGTTTGTTTGTTTTGTAGTTGTGTTCTTTTGTTTCTTTCGTTTTTGTTTTTTATTTGTTTTGGTCTCTGCTGGCTACTAAGTTAAGCTTTAGTCTCCGTCTACTTCACTGATTTGCGTTCGCCTCCATGTCTGGAAAACTTTGTTTTTAGAAGACTTGCATTTCCCTTTTCTCAGACATAAAATAGATTTATTTTATTATATGGTGTGAAATATGTCACAGAGGCGCGGTAGACGTCCTTGAGTTATAACTTTAAAAGCAGATTTAACTGCGTTAAGACAACGAAATATGTGTTAGTGTAGCAGACCTTGCAAAGATTTTAGTCGTAATGGGGTCTATCAGTAGTTTGTAACGTACATTAGCTCTTATTAACCGAGTTCGAGGTCGATACTGTAAGTTCCTGAGCGAGTCTCTTGGTTTTTTTTTTTCCTTCGAATGGTGGTCGTACCATACACTGAAGGGAGGGGGGGGAGAGGGGGAGGTGAGGAGACAAAGATTTGTGTCATACAGAACTTACTGAAAATACGCACAAGGCTATTGAGATATTTAACAGTGTGTAGTTTGCAACGGAAACAGCTATAAACTTAGGGTAACACAAGGCCAACGAAGTTTACTAATCACGGTGCGCGCCGTTATTGTGATAATCAGTAAAGTTTCTTTTGATCAACCTCCCTATGAGTATTTTTTTTTTTTTTTTTGGTAACCTGTAAAGTGACAATTATTTATTTAAAGACTGGGGTTGATGAACCTTTCGGGGATTTTTCAGAATAACTATCGAGGATCCAAAAACAATGCGCGAATTCTCGTCGTGTAGAGAGACTGTATATCTCAGTATATTGAGGTAGATGATGGGAATTCCCCAAAGAACTAATAGTTAAATAAATATAGTTGATGCAGCATTAACGTCATGGCATGTCGATCGTTCAGCATCAATTAATGATGATTACTTTTTCACGTTCGCGTTGAACAATTGACTTGTGTATAATTCGAGCATCTTTCATCGTAGCATGTTTCATCGACGTCGCGAAGCACTATTCTAATAGTTTCTATTTTTAAACACGTATCTTAGCAATACAAGAAGATTGCCTAGGAACACGTCCAGTGGTAATAGGCATACTTTTAGAGAGCCAGCAAAAACACTTTCGCCTGTCTTCTTTTCGTGACGTCATTGAGAGGTTACGGAAACTGTAAAAGATCACTAACAAAAAGTGGAAAGGAAAAACGTCATATCTGTTACCTGTACAACATACACAACAGGCGTTTAAGCATTTGAAAAGATAACGATCGTGCTCCGTTTGATTCCTTTGTGACAGTACGTACGAAACTCTAATGGATTGTTGTTTAAGATGTCCGTTACAACCGGGTGTAGGTTGAAAGGAAATTTTCTATGTTTATATGTTCCAAATTGCATCACCCTGATTTCCTCGATCATTTATCATTTTAGAACTAAGTAGATGCTCTATAGTTCACAAACAAAGCTCATTTTTTTTTAAAAGTGTCTGGCCCCAAAAGCGTGTGTAAAGTCGAGTGATGAGAATTATTCATGCAGAGGGACACGGACTTCTTCGTTGTCCAACATTTGTGATAAAGTATTACTGTATTGCAATATCCATGACAACGATCGGTATCCGGTTGAACCCGTTATGACAGTACGTAAGCAAAACTAATGAACTTTTGGTTAGGATATCTCTTATCAACATCCTGATCATTAATTGAAAGGGAGTTTTTTCATTTTTCCCACTCGCATGCACGAAATTTTATAATCAAGACTTCCGATAGACTGATAATTGCGTGCGGCGTCTTCGACAAACATCGGTCTCCGTTTGAGTCCGTCATGACAGTGCGTGAATAAAAATGATCAACTTTTGGTTTGGGTATCTTTTACTGACATCTTTACGCAATTGAAAGGGAATTTAACATGATTCCCACTTGCACACAACTTTATAATCAAGACTTCCGATAGCCTGGTACTTTTTTCTTAGGGAGTGACGTCAAGAAATTTACGATTAGAATCTTTAGCCGAACTGTTTCAAGTTGCTCCTGTGCAAACCCTGCTAATTTTCTTCATCACTGATTATTTACATTTCCTCTTTTTATTCTCAGGTCTTTGGTAAATGTTTGCCAAGCGGAGATTCGAGTTTCGTTTTGAGTCAGCGGTCAAGGATTTTCTTTACAAGTGAGTGTAGTGAACAAAATAGAGGTTTAATAAACAAGATAAGATAAAATTCGCTTCTTTAAGTGAACGGGTGATGTTTTGTGTATTGTGTTTATATCAATGAAATTAAACTTTCAAAAAACAGTGATCACTTGTGCGAAAACTAAGCTCGTGTAAAAGCCATTTGAATCCCCCGAAAAAAGCATTTTCTCTTAAAGTTTATAATTATTTCTTCTTATCCTAAAAAGTTTATGTAACTGTTGCTTAAGTACAAAAAAGCTCTTCGTAAAAAATGCTAATACGCCAGGTTGATAGACCTGCTAACAATGACATAATTGTCATCTCCAATTTAATTTTGAAACAGGAGACATCCTGGAATTATTTGATATCTGTGTAAAGGAAATTTTCAATGCTCTGTTAGGGTTGGAATCTAAGTATCATTTTTAAGGCTGTAGAGTGACTTGTCGATAACTTCGAAACTGGTTTCAAGATTTACCTTATTTTTCAAATAGCACCGTGACTGCCAACAAGCTTCAAATGGGTGCATTAAAGAACTGCTTAGAACGAATAATCCGTTCTTAAGAACAAAATTATTTCTAATCTGCAGCAATTTGAAACTAAGAAGGTTTTTCGCGCATACTACAGATATTTCTTTCATGTGTCTTGATCTGCTAAGGAACTTGCTATGGAGAAAAAGCGCCAAGATAATTTCATGAATGCAACATTTGGTCAAATGACAAAACGTTTAAGATGTTAAAATGGCGAGATATCGCATTGGCTACCCAATTTTCAGCTATACTTGCTTCGCGCTCGGTAAATACCGCATTTTATAGATTGATATCTGTTTATTTATATCATTAAGACATTAAGCCAAATTGTTTGGAACAAAGAGAGTCAGTGGCATTGCATAGGCTTTGCACGCGCCGACCAGACGCGGTTTCGTCTTGGAATTACTTTGAAATGTCTATTGATGGTTTAAATTTTATCCATTTAGAGCTTAAGGTTAACGTTCTATTGGGGCCTAACTCCTGAGTCAATAAAACTAAGCACTGATGATTGATTTTGTCATAAAAAAAAAAAAAACCAAAAGGGGAGACTGGAAAGTATTGATGAACTGCTGTCTTGGTTAGAAGATCCCGAGCCCTTCGTTGTTCTGTTTTCATATTTTTATTATATATGTTTTTCCTTTCGAGAGTTGAAGATGATGAAACAGGAATTTAAGGGTCCGATATATCCTTTTTAGAGGGTACTTACTCTTTTAAGTCCGTATTTTCTGGTTGAAAAGAATTGGAAAATCATTTTTTAGACACTTGACGCTTATATCATTTGTAGCTCACTTGACTTTTAAGGAAACTGTGCGAAGAAAGTTATAAGTAAGAACAACCAAGGTCAAACCCCCCCTAAATAATACTACTATGGATATATACGGGTTTGGGCCTACTCAATGAACTTTAATGGTGTGTCGAGTGGAGAATTAACTATCTTTGCCGGTCGCTGGATTCGGTTTTCAAGCCGGAGCTACAAGAGCCATGTGCCTATTTGTCGTTTCAACTCCAATTTACCTTACCAAAAATTTCTAAGGTTCTCTCGTAGAAGGGGGCGAAAGCGTAACATACTGCATCTGCATATACGGTGATATACGGTGTTGTGAGGACCTTTCGGCTTACAAACATAAAATTGGTCTGATAATCAGGTCAGAATTTGGAGAACCACGCGATACACCTCTATTAAAATTTCCCAGGGGTTCCTCATAGTAGAGGTGGCAAAAGAGGAATATAATAAGTGCAACAGAATGAAAATAATACCGCCGAATGGTGAACTTCGTTTTCTTAGTAGAATTGAATGCAGCGTTTTAGAAAATTGATAAAAAAAAAACATAGCGCACTTGTACGCTAACTAGATTAGTGGTCATTTCACTCTGTCTGATTAAGTTAGTTGGACGAGCTGAGGATTATTCTCAAGATCATGAAGCTTTAATAGAATTAAATGGAATTAGAAATTAAATTTCCGGTTGGACGGGACTTGGTTCCGAATCAATTCTAGAATGTTCATTGTTACTGATTCCTTTCGATTCAATACTGAAAATTCTTACGCTACATTAAGGTCAATTCACCATATTAGTGCAACAAAAAGCGCAAAACATGCCACACATTTCACCGTGGAACATGGCAAAAATACATATGGAAAGGGATCAAAAATGCGGCCGTATTGAGCGATGCAAACTTTGATGTTTTTTTCCGGTTTTTAGTATTGGTTTTTTAAACAACAATCCTCTAAGTGCTTCAGATTTTTTTCTTGGCCATCATCATGCACGTTTAGCTTGTTTTATTTCGATGCTCAAATGAGGTCATATGATGTATCGCGTGAACTAGAAGCCAAAATAACAGTAAATGAATTAAGATCGGATCAAGGAATACGTTATTCGATGGTTTACCGTACAAGCGGACATTTTGCCCATTGCTAGCAAATGTTACGCAGGTCGCAAATATCCGCGCGTATTACATGTCAAACCATCGAATTAAGTGTATGAATTGTATGTGTCAACTAGAAACCAAGCTCTTTCAGGTACTTGTTGAAAACTCTAAAATTTGTATCGTTTTATTTCGTTCACCGATTAGGCCGACGCTATGTAAAGCTTGTACGATCCCAATTATATCGAGTCTAGTTCATTTACGTAATCACCAAGGTATGCACGGAAGTTCTGGTGCTGAAGACAGCACTTCTGCTTTCCACGTGGTAAACGTATTGTAGCTGTTAAATTTTTCTGTAGTTTCATCTTATTCCGTCTGTGAAAATGAAAGTGCAAATATTAACACCATGTCATACCAATAAATTTGTTACGAAAAAATCCTTACAGGTAAAAAGCAACTGAAGAAAAAAAAGCTCTCAAAAAATTCAGTCTATGACGGATTTCGAACCCATGCATCCAATAAATTAGATGGACATTGCAACCTGCCACGTGTTGCTGACAAGTTTAACGTAACCAGCTCAAAAATTGAACAATGAGTCTGTTAAGAAAACTGAACACAATATTTGTAATTGTGTTGGCCGATTTTGCAGATTAGAGTGTTGAGTCCCTTTAGGTTAATAGCTTGAAAACTAATAAACATTTACGAGACAAGGAAAACAGTGCAAGACACTTGAGTCCCATCGCGGTGACACCCTCACGAGGTTTCTCTGAAATAAAATTAAAAGTCTCCGCAGGTTTGAAATGTTGGAAACTGTACGTTACATTTATTAATCTTAAACATAAGTGATTTCGTTTATCTATTAC